AAATACTATGAGGTCTTACTCTCTTGCAAGAAAGTTGAGAAATAATGCTTTTGGAAAGAAATCAAGAAAATAACTGCAAAATGTCACTATCAACTACTATTGATGTTGGTGACGTAAAAGAAATTACTCAGTTATGACAGGAGCGCTACAATGCACTGTTTAACTGTGTCAAAAGTAAAATTTTTGTAGTGAGTTGCATACATAGTAGTGAGAATGACGGGGTTTCCCCAAGAAAACTTAAGCCCGGTGGTCGGGGCACTGAGGCGGTCCACCGGAGTTTTGTATTAAAAGATGTTAAGTTGACAGGAAACGTAAAATATTACTGGGTAATTATGTTACTGGAAGACATTGCAGACAATACTTAAACTCACAATTATAGAATCTTAAAAACAAGTCAAAACAATACAATTAAAATAAATATCAGTTATTTGCACTTTATCAGTTAAATCCAAATTAAGTCATTGGCTAGTGGATCTAAAACCACAATGTAATTCTGATCACGTTTAGGCATAAATGAACTAAGAGAATACCAATGCACTTAAATTTGATTTAATGGTTTCAGCATAGATAAATTAAAAGATTATAAATTGTTTAACATTTAAATTTAAGAATTTAAGGAGCTGGCAAGTTTACTTTGTAAAAGTTGAAAGAACAATCTTCATAGTTAGATTATTTTGGTACCATAGCCAGGGCCAGACTTAGGAGGGTGTGGGCCCCTGGGCTTATGCCAAGGTACGGGCCCTACTTAATCATCGTTATACAGATGATTAAGTATATATTCCTGATTTCCTTCCCTTTGGGTGGTCGGTGTTTGGCCGTGACTTGCTTGTGGAGCCGATCCAATCCACAAACCTTATCTACCTATAAGGTCACAAAAATCAGCCACTGTCCACCATGAGAGAGGGCTGATGGACAGTCCCAACCACCAGGTCATCTCTCCATGCAAGATTTACAACAGTCACTCCATGATTGTCAACTTTTTTTTAATATTTTGCACACACATGCACAAAAAAACTTTAGTAAGTCAGATTTTTAAAGATCGGCCAGAAAATTGCAACCGGTGCACCTTTAATGAATGTAAAGATCATCACTACAAACAAAATGTACTTAGTAGTTATTAAAGAAATACTTGAACATCTTGAATATGTCTGTCAATGTTCTCTATCCATCCTCTGTGTACAGTATTTATTAATCCTTCATTTCTATCTTTATCTGTCTCCTTCCCTCTTTCAATTTTTATCAACTGTATCTTTCTCTGTAATTATCAGGTTTATTTCCTTACCAACTTCAGACAGTCAGGTTATTTCCCCTCTGAGACCCAAAACTGGATTTTACCTGCGTGTCAGGGCAGGACAGGACGCACTCGAGTTAATTTGTACAGTCGGCCCTTCGCCTTATGATTAGGACAGTTCCTCCCGGCACTGCTAGCTGGAGGCTAAAGCTAGTTCCGCTTTTTTAACTTTGCATTGAGCGCAAGCGAGCAGAGTAGGTATTACTTTTCTGTGACTTTAGCTGTTTTCTTTCTCTTTGAATCGTTCTGTTGCTTTTTTTCCACTCACGAAAACCAGTTTCAAAGCTCACTTGTCAATATGTCAATTATGTTTGGGGGATTTTCTGTCTTTTTACTGTTTTCTCTTGCTATGTTTAGGGTTTATTTGTGTTTGATGTAATTTCCCTGGTCCCCAGTATCTCTTTATCCTCATGTGTTTCCCATTGATTAGTTATTGCCTTCACCTGTTTCCCTTGTTTTTTAAGTCTGTGCGCACCATGTGGTGGAGCGGGATCCTCATCTGATCTTTCCTGTGATCGAATGAGTAGGGTTGTGTAGTTTCGAGTCCAGTCTAGTCTAGAGGAAGTAAGTTCTGTTCCATTTCGTTGTTTTTCAAGTTTCTGATGATGCTGTACCACCGAGCCTAACTGCTGATCTGTGGGTGTATTGATGAGAAATAAACACAAGACATCACGCTGCTGCCTAGCTGCAAGTTTGTCCCAAGCAACAAGACCTCGCACCTGGACATCACTGACTTTTAGCATCATTTAAAATACAGAACACAGCTGCGGTGGAAGGAGGATAACTCAGCCTGTGTTTGGATGTACTCACCACTTGGAACTGGCTTTCAAAACATGATCTGGAGAAGAATCGTTTCTGATGTTTGTAAAGATGTTCCGATGCTATAAAACTGACATCCATATTTCCTGCTTCTTGCTCAGCCCAGTAAGCTCACACAAACTCATCAGTTTTTACCCAAAGCGCAGGATCAGTACTGTGCGGATTATCCGTGGTCATCACTGCACCTGGCAAAGAAGCTCCAGGTTAGCAAGGCTAACGTCTTGAGAACCGGAGAGGGACGATGGTTCTGTTCCATGTCCAATATGGTTTAAAAAACCCTGTTAGCTTGAATATTTTCTTCATCACCTCTTTGTCGCTCTTCTTTTTCTTTTGTTCCTGCGCTCCACTGTCATTCCGTTATCTGCCATCGTGAGAAATCCCTTCCCTGATGCTCTTCCCAATGTCTAAGAAGCGTCCAACTTGGACCAATAATAATCAAGCATTCATGATGGACGTTTGTCAGAACAAATCAGACATTTTTTCAACAACACCTCCAAAATCCTCTTAGCCAGTGATAAAATTAAGGCATTGTGACCTTATTCAATCACAAAAATCCAAAGCATCTTTCGGGGCCTCCAAAGCCCAGGGTCCCAGGCTGCAGCCCGGGTAAGCCCATGCTAAAATCTGGGCTTGAGCATAGCAACAATCTGATGCTATGAGTTTAATCTTTGCGTTTTAGCTGTTCATTAATGTATCTTAGTAAACTACAATTACATTTGACTCCTCTGTCAATTAAACTAGGCCCCCTCTCCCAGACTTCACTAAATCCATGGTGAAACCCTATTAGTGGTGCTGATGTTCTTAGCAGCAAGAGAGGCTCCTAAATCAAATTCTGCTCAAGGCCTCATTCAACATTGGACCGGCCCTGGCTGCATGATGAGCTAGACCCGCTGCAAAGCGCATTTCTGCAGCATTTCTGCAACTGGCTACAACTGCAGAAATGCAGCTGTATCCAAATGGGAGATTTAATTCATGTGGCTTTAGTAAATCTTTCATTTCTTGTCTACTGAGTTTTAATGAGCACCATATCAGCTCTTTTAGAGTCAAAACTCATGGTTTGGTTGCCCGGGCTTTATGGGATGAGTTGTTCTGATCTCCGCGCAGAAACTCTACCTGACTTCAAGTAGACAAAGCAATTTATATGCATTGTGTCGCCGCAAAAAATAAAATAACACAAACCAACATGTTGCGATAGTCACGAGGCAAGCAAGAAAGCTCCTCCACGGGCTGAACCCCAGGTCTACTAACACACCGGCTAACAGGTGTTACGTCAATCCGCGTTTCCCCATCAGATACGGTTCCCTCTGTTTTAAAGTGGGGAACGGTATCTGATGGGTGAAATATGGTAATTTGTCGTGGCTTGATCTGTGAAGTTAACCTTATATAAGCTCACTGATACGGACATTTATATCCACCCCCTGTG